TTTCGGTTGTGCTGTGTGGCATGCGGGATCTTATTAATAGTTCCCCAACCAGGGATCAAATTTGTGCCCCTGTAGTGAAAGTGCAGAGTCTTAACTACTGGACAGCCAAGGAAGTCCCTCATGCCTTATTTTCCTTTAAGTTTTAACTTTTAAAATAATTTTAAAACGGTATGAGAGCTGCAGGAACACTCTAAAGCACTCACTCCTTGATATCCTTCATCCACACACACGTACAGAGACGTCTCTCTTTTTTTTTTTTTTGCATTATTTGAGTGTGCATTGCAAATATAATGGCCCTTTACCTCCATTCCCCTGGTTTTACTGAGATGTAACTGACAAAGCCATAAACCATTTAAAGTGCACAGTGTGATGACCTGATGTGCACACGTACTGCGTGACACCATGCTTTGTGCGACGTGACACACGCTTGAGTCAACCAACTGGTTTCCCATCGGTGAGACATGCTCCATCTCTTGGAGCGGTTCAGTGGTGGAACTAGACAGAGAACTAGGCCTGAAAATCAGCGGAAATGCCCTTCACCCACCTGAACAGTATTAGAGCTATAAAATCCTAGTGTAAATGTCACTCTATATATCTGCTGTAATAATGAAAATTTAGATCAATGAAGCGTCAAATTGTATGTTAACAAAGAGGAAAACGCTGAACAGAGAGGGCAGAACTTTAAAAATTCCTGTCCTTCCCTCTTAACTCAAGGTTGCCAGCTTCTGTGTGGGGCCAAGGGCACTGTATTATTTTCTACACTTTGATTTTTCAGTAGGTGTCGATGCTTCCTGGAAGTATTCAAAACAGTGTATGTGTATACATCTTGGGCTGATTAACATTTCAGACTCTCAATTCCATATCTGTATACCCTCTGCAAATAACCAAATGTGAGATACAAGAAAGATATATCATCTTTATCTTATTACGACCAAATTGATAAATGTCTTTTCTCATATTCTAGGAGAAAAAAAAATTCTCACACAAAATTTTGAGGTCTCATTTTGGCTACAGAGTTAAGATAATTTTCCTTGGGCGTCAAAAGTTTGGAAGTGCAATAGATACGAACACTTGACTTCTTCCTGCTTTTGTGAATTGCCCCAAATTCTTTGCCATGAAAAAAATAAGCAAAGAAAACCATCCTACCTGGAAAAAGGAGGTAAACTGAATAAATAATATATTAAATTTAGGCTTTCAGATCTAGTGTGGTATTCTGTCTTTTCATGAACATTAGATAGACATGATTAAATAAGTCATAAATTATGGTAAAATGTGTTAAAACAAGAGTCTGCAATAATTTGGACAAACCCTCCATGTGGTCAAACTTTGATTCACCAGTAATCTTTCAAACAAAGGAAGATTAGACTGACACATTTTTTTTTTTTAAATAACCATAGATATGGAATAGAATCTGCTAGTTCAAAATACTTGGAATTCATCTTCTCTTTGAAAAAGAAAATGACTAGAAATGAGGTTAAAATTTTTTAACAGAATGTTAAATTTTTAATCTAAATTTAAACTTTAGTGTCATAGAGACATTAATGTCATTTCTTTTCCACTATTATCATTACTAAAAATTTTATAAAACCTTATGAAAGACCAAAAAATCTTTTTTTACACATTATGCCATAAGAGACATGATTAAAATGACAAGTTCCCAAATAACATGAAAAATGCATTTCCCCTTTATGCAAAGCAAATGCATTTTGCTCCTAAGAGATGTTTAATCTATTCTCTTTTTTGAGAAGAGATGGCAGGGGGATGAAAGGATTTACAGTTAGAACTGTCATTTAATGAAAGACACATATTTGACTTGTGATTATTAAATAACTTGTAACAATTTCGAGTTTAGACAGCAGTAGTGACTTTTGATATGAATGAAAAACAAATTATATTTCTGTTAACATTCAAGGTTACTTCTCTGAGTCAGAATTATTAAAAGTTACCCTTTATTATGCCATGGGAATAGTGGAACCAATGTTAAGAAATCTTCTCTATGTGTATACATAAAAATATTTATTCCAGGAAGCATTAGGTTTCTACAGAATTAGTTTAAAAGAACAGCTTAATCTTTCATAAAAACTTTTATAAAGAACTTCAATATGCTTTCTACTATCTTATACTCTTCCTCCACCCCCTCCATCAGTGAGTGCTCCCATGAGTGGTCAGATTCAATCACCATCATTGGCTCATTGGGAAGAAATGTGAGGCAACGCCATAGTTCCTTTATAGTTTCAGCTTCTGAGTGTTTGCTTACTCCCTAGCAATTGGGGCATCAGAATGGCCCCAGGACTGCACTTGCCCTGAGAAATGCTTTTACTGAAAAGATCCAGGGGCTAGTAGAGGGTTCAAGCTTTTTTTAAAGATCTCTTTTAGCTTGCTGGTACATTTTTTGTCAGACACATCTTTCCTTGACACTAGGGTGGTCATAATACTCTTGAGGGAAGTAAGGTTGGGAGCTGAGCACAGAAGAACAAAGGCTGTAAACTCGCACTTTGCTCTGCTAGCTCTATGGTGTTGACCTTAATTTATCAGGAGGACACCTTGGGATTTTTTCAGCAAATAATAAAGAGGGTGCATTTTCCAGGTGTCTGTGCATTTCTCTCTTTTGCAGTCTCTTTCTCTCTCACCAGAACAAGAATTAACAAGTATTTTTAAGTAAGACAGTAAAAGTTTAGAACTCCAACTGCCAGAACTCAGTCAAGAAGCAGTTTCCAAGCAGTGCCTAAATTTTCTCCTTAAGATGTAACAGTAAGTCATAATCACCTATTAACCACTTTGGTTTCTTAGCCTTCTGGCTGGTGAACTTCTTTTTCCCTTGAACTGTTCTAAATAATTAAGAGGATTTTGAAGACGTCCGACCGTTTTGGCTGATAGCTTTTAAGAAAGAACAAAAGTGTGTTTGTTCATGCTCAAACTCCAGGAAAATAACCCCTGATGCTATTTAAAAAAAAAAGGTTCCTTGATTTCAGTGACTTTAGAATTGATATAAGGGGCTTCCCTGGGGGGTCCAGTGGTTTAGACTCTGTGCTTCCAATGCAGAAGGTGCAGGTTCCAGTCCCAGGTTGGGGAGCTAAGATCCCATGTGCTGTGTGGCACAGCCAGAAAATAAAAACAAACAAAAAAACCCCTACCAATTAAAAAAAAAACCTGACATAAGGAAGAACAAAAGGAAAAAATCTATTACGAAGAATCACTGTGTGTCATGAACTAAGGATTGTAATCAATAACTTCTGTGTACCCAACATATAACTTTAAAAACTACCTACTGATTTTAAGGTGAAGCCTGGCCCATAAACCTGTGTTGTAATTTAGTATGTAACACTGGAAAACCCATGAAAGGAAAATATGAGGCTAGTTCAGGGCTTCCATTGTGGCTCAGATGGTAAAGAATCCACCTGCAATGCAGGAGAGCCTGGTTTGATCCCTGTCTCTGGAAGACCCCCTGGAGAAGGGAATGGTTACCCACTCCAGGATTCTAGCCTAGAGAATCCCATGAACAGATAAGCCTGACGGGCTACAGTCCATGGGATCACAAAGATTCAGACACGACTGAATGACCAAGCATGCATACACATAGTCAGTGCTTTTGTTCAGTATCCTATAAAGTGGAAAGGACAGTGGGAAGTCTCTTTACTCCTCCCAGCAGAGGATTACTGAGTACCAGCTAATTGGAAAAGCCGAAAAGGAATTGATGGATAACTGGCATTCTTGAATTTCAAACTTTGGGGACTGCCTTACTTCTGACGAGGAGAAAGCAGAGAACATGGCCCATAGCTGATTGCGGCAGTTTTTCTAAACATGACCAGCACTAAGAATGAAAGTTTATAGGTTGGAGTAGAAGAAATCTCAGCCCTGGGTGAAGCCATATAATTAGAGGTTTCAAATTACTTTAGAATCTTCAAAGCACACATACAAGGATATGGATCATTCACAATATGCCTCTTTATAAGCCACATACTTTCATAAGAAATCAAAGTCTTCATAATAAGAAAAAAATAACCACAGGTAGTTCTTATAAAAATAATCATGAACAGGGCAGAAACTGGACCTGTCTTGCTCTTTGTTCAAGTGGAAAATTCTCCCTTTACTGACAGATTTGCTAAAGCATCCAAAGTAATGTTCAAAACACTGCTTTGCTTTATCTTGAGTTGTTAAACTACTGCACTCTAAAATCCTGCCACTAAACTTTAGCTGTACTCAATTTACTTGTATTTAATATAGACAGGCATTAGTTTTGATACTAAATGTACTATGCATTAGATAGTAAATGTACTTATGCTTTTAACACTTCTCTTAAGGACAGTTGCTATCATAAGAGGTTTTCCATGAATCACCTAATTCAGATAAAGATTGAATAATATTTTCAACTTCCTTCCTACATTTATTTAAGAATGTGTGTCATTCACAAATTTGAAATTTCAAACTATGGAAGTCTGGAGGTAAAGACACTTGAAGATATTTCTTCAAAATGTTTTGTGGAGGAAAAAAGGTATTATATATTGTATTACAAGAAACCTCATCACAGCTTCCTAAAGAAACAAAGTCCCAGAATTTTACAAGAATTGCTCAGTAGAAGTAAATCCAAGTTCAAAGAGACAAGAAGAAAGGAGTAATTTGTTATTCAGCATATGTGTGATCTGCCACAGCAATTTTGAATCACTTTGTTCTGCTGGGTTTGCCTTAGTAAAGGGTTAGATGCTGCTGTGAGAATCATTCCCTGAAAACAGAGGTGAAAGTAAGTCAGTGAGTGAGAGCTGATATAAATTCAGGTCATTTTACAAAGGATTTGCACCCAAGATGAATTTTCACAAGTTGGCAAGCTTTTCCAGAATCTTGCTTTCATGAATGTTATTTGAACAAGTTGTGTAGAACGCAGTCTCCATTCTATGAGATAGCAGTGCCTTTTTTTTTTTTTAAACCAAGTTGGAACTATTCAGGTCACCAAATAACAGGGATCAAAAGTAAAACATCTGAAAAATCCAACAGTCTGGTCTAACCTGGGATGCTCTGTCTCCTCACAGCCAATGCTCCATCAGGCGGCTTTGTCTGGCTGGCGGATTTAGTGTAGGGACTCTCATCTGCAAAGGTACAATGAAGGCTTTGGTTAATTTCCATCCAGTTTCTACTGTAGTGAAGGTCTTTCAATGGATTGCAATCCTTCTGCCAGAGAGAGGTGGTACGGTAGGGTGGAAAGAGTCCGTAGACCTGGGTCCTAACCTGGGTTTAGCCGTGGGACTTGGTCAAGTCATTTAAATATGCTCCGAACGTCAGTTTCCTCCCCTATGAAAGAGGGATATGTATTTGCACCCATCTCTGAGGATTCTCAGGATCAAGCTATAATGCACATGAAGGCATAGAATGGTAAGACGTTTGTAAAAACAGTACGCAGATGATATGCCTGTCACCTATATTCATTGATAAATAAATATCCATGAATGTCAGTAACAGGAAGACAAGGAAGGAATAAAATGGCTCAGTGGGCACTAAGAATAAACTAGGAGAAGAACAAAGGAAAGGAAAAGAAATATTATATTTCAGAGAAGCAGATGACAGAGTATTAGTATTGCAGGGGAATAAAAACACACAGAATTAGTGGGTTCCTACTGAAAGTATGAATGGGCATCCACTGGAAAATAAAGGGAAAGGGACATTCAGAGCAAGACCAGAGAAGCTAGGTTAAGAATAGAGAAGGAAAGATGGTTTGGGAAAAGAAGACACATATTGCAATGAGCTGATCTGCCCTCTTAGAAAGAGATGGAAATAACTTGGAAAACCAGAGAAAGAGCAACTGAAGAGCCAGAAGGACTAAAGCTCAGTATATCTGTGACAGTTAGTCAAGAAGCTGAATGAGCAAAACACAAGGTGAAAAAACCATACAAGTGATGGATCCATCAAATTCTAAGTAATATGACTTTTTTTTAAATCTAGGAAAGGATTTAGTCTGACTTGGAATATAGGTGTAATGATCCAGGATGGCAAATATTAGGGTGAAATAGAAAGGAAATATTCTTTTTAGTCAGCATAGGACATTTGTACAGAGTAAAAGAGATGTCTGAGTGACATTAAACACTTTCAAGCATAGGATGTATACAGCCTGAGTAGATATAATGTACAATAATCACCTAGTAGATCTACTCAAGCTAGATGACCCAAAGGTTACTTCTGGCCATACTACCAGGTTGCTTTGTTCTTGTTGTAACAAGAAATCATTAAAGAATTAAAAACAGCATTATATTATATATGCAAACTACTAAAATATAACAAGGATTTAATTCAGCAACAAGCTTTTGTCATCTGAAAACATGAACTCTCCCAACTAAGTAGTTCGTGTTGCAAAATTAAGGAACTCAACTCCTCTTTAGGATGTACTTCTGGTTGAAATGATTCATGATTTCTTCCTAAAACTAACAAGGTCTTTGTAAGCAATGACAAAAAGGAAAGATTAACACTACTGTAAGCTGCAATTAACTTAAAAAATGGCAGTCACACTGTTTCATGTTTATATTCCATTTGTCACACAATTCTTTATATTCTTCCAACCATAAAGACAAACTACCAACATTCAGATATCAGCACAATCAACAGCATCACTTTTGCTTATGAAGCAATATCCTAGATCTTTGACTCTTCTCTTTGTATATGCGATTTTGAGGATAAACACAAACCACAAAACAAAATGCCAGCCTTATATTACAAAAGTCTTTGCCATTCCACGCCCACCCGAGTATCTGAACTCTTTTCTCACAATATTGATTTAATAACCAGGCCATATGCTTGACCAAACTTACTATATGCTAAAATCTGGATTCTTTATAAAACCGATTTAAAAATGTATTTCTTTTTATTATCTAAAGCTTTGAAACCATGTATTTATAAGTACAGAGCACTGAGTCAGGAGACACAGATCACAACAGTCAGTTTCAGGGACAGCATCTTGGAAGCCTAAAGGCTTCCTCAAGGTTTCAATTTGTCTAGAGTCCAGCCAATTAGTGTCTTGAGTTGAATCCAGTGTTGGATTTTCTTACAGGGCAGTAAGAGATCTGACCAGGAGACTCTGGGGTGCTTTGTATTTGATGGTCTATTTTAAGGAGCCATGTCTTTAGAAATTTACCTAGTTTGCATTACAGAAGTAGTCAACCCTGGCAAAACTGTTTTCTTATTTATATTGGAGAACCATTTCCTTGATTTAGAGCTGAGATAGTCTAGTTATGCACATCCTTAAAAGCTTGAAACTGAATTATAGATGGCCACCTGGCCAGCCTCTGCTTATCCATTCCCCAGGCCCTGACCGCACTCCAGTGTTAAGACTGTCCTTACTGAGCACAGATGAAAGTAAACAATTACCTAGAAGCCAAAATTTGCATTGGTTGAAGGATCAGACTGAAATAAGTTCAATATTATCTAAGAATAGGTTTCCAAAGTCACTCAGGATGAAGGCAATAATTCCTAATGCAAATGAGGCAGAATCTTGGCAACCTTCATCAGGAGGGTTAAGGTGAGCACAGCAACAGAGCAGCATGGCACCTTTTAACATTTATTTTTAAAGAAACTTTTTGTAGGAACATCTGTTTAATTTAAACCCCGAGGAGGTATCATAGGCCTTTTATAAAAACCTATCCATCAGAGAATGGGCATCAGTTTTCTTGATGTGATTTATTCCAAGTCAAATCTTGACTCAAACTTTGAAAATAGAAATGGAGGGAAGACATTGAATGACTCAGTGGCTGATGCCTCTGTAATACTAGGTTGGTACAAATGTAATTGTGGCTTCAGACTGTGAATTTTAAATCATTATTACTAGGCTCAAACCCATATTTATTAATCAAAATAGGAACCATTACAATCAAAACATTTTTGCCAAATAAGTTTGCTTATTCTCGTAGTGTAAAAATCGGTGTTCTCGGATTCCAGAACTCTTGGAAAGCATTTTCTGCCTCTTGCTGGCTGTGGAAGCATTTTCCCTGCAAAATGTTGTCAAGATGCTTGAAGAAGTGGTAGTGAGTTGCCAAGAGGTCAGGTGAATATAGTCGAATACGGAAACATCGTAGACTAATTTGTTCAACTTCTGAAGCGTCGCTTGCGTGACGTGCAGTTGGGCGCAGTAGTGGAGAAGAATTGGGCCCATTCTGTTGACCAATTCTGGCTGCAGGCATTGCAGTTTTTGGTGCATCTCATTGATTTGCTGAGCATACTTCTCAGATGTAATGGTTTTTCCGGGATTCAGAATGCTGCAGTGGATCAGACCGGCAGCAAATCACCAAATAGTGACCATGACATTTTCTTGGTGCAAGTTTGACTTTCAGAAGTGCTTTGGAGTGTTTTCTTGGTCCATTCACTGAGCTAATCATTGCCGGTTGTCCTGTAAAATCCACTTTTCATTGGATGTCACAATTCAATCAAGAAATGGTTCATTGTTGTTGCACAGAGTAAGAGAAAAATTTGCTTCTTTGTCTAACATCATTTCCATAGTTTAATAAGTCATTAGCACAAAAACATAAAGCAATAAATGCACATTAAAATGATGCATAATATAACCACATTTAAGAATGGATTCTAATGTCAAATGGCAAAGTTCAACCATGCAAAACCACAATTACTTTTGCACCAACCAAATACAATGGAATATTACTCAGCCATAAAAAGAAAAGAAATAGTGCCATTTGCAGAGATCAGGATTGACCTGGAAATTTTCATACACAGTGAAGTCAAACAAAGATAAATACCGTCTGATATCACCTTTGTGGAATCTAAAATGGGACACAAATGAGTCTATCTACCAAACAGAAACAGACTCAGAGACTTGTGGCTGCCAATGCGGGGGAATGGAGAGACAGACTGGGAGCTTTGGGGTTAGCAGATGCACGCTGCTACACTTAGAATGGATAGACAAGATCTTACTGTATAGCACAGGGAACTATATCCAGTCTCCTGGGATAAACCATAATGTAAAAGAATATAAAATAAGAAGGAATGTGTTTATAAATGAGTCACTTGGCTGTACAACAGAAATTAGAGCAACACTGTAAATCAACTATATTTCAATTTAAAATGTAAAAAATAAAATAAATGCCAATAAAATTAATTCACTGTTGCTCAGTAAATGGCTCAAAAGTTTCAGTGAATTACAAGATCTATGTTAATACTTTTCATTTATCAGGAAGACACTAAATAGGCTTTCAAGTTCCAATTAATTCCATAAGTGAATTAAAAAATAGGTGAAATAAAAAAAACCAAAAAACAAAACAAAACAAAAAAAATAGGTGAAATAACAAAAAAGGAGTCAGTCTATAGATAGTTCTAGAACAGTGCCCATCCCCTAGTATGCATTCATTAAACATTTGCTGATAGACAATTAAATTGTATTTAACTTTTCAAATTAGAGCATTTATTATGATTAAGCAACCTGAAGAAAGTCAAACACTTGTTAGCTAACCTCCCTCCTCCCTCTGATTTCTTTTTCTAAGTTTACACCTATTCCTTTTAAAGCCATATCACCATCTACTACTTATTAATATTGCCTTATTGCATGTTCAAATTTGTGACTATTTATAAAAATAATATTGAAATATATTCCCTTTAATTTCCATTCAGACTACAGAAGGTTTATTGAGTAACCTTTAACATAATGCCTTTAAACAAAAGAATTCTGATATTTATACCAGACTCTCTGCCTTGACTTTAGGGTTATTAACAAGGAATCCTTATGGAAAGTCACTGCAGGACCAAGAAGGCATTCAGTAAGTGAGTCAACGTGGCAAGTAATCATCAAGGGCATCACAGGTTATCAGAACTGTCAGCCTTTTAAAATGGCATCACAGCAGCTAGATAATCTCTGTCACATATGATGGCTGCCCACTGTCACTGGTCATAACAAGAAAGAGCATGGGTCTCCTTTATGGTGACATCCCAAGAGGCTAGGGGAAACGCCCTCCATTAAATGGAGAATGGACACTGCGACAGAGACAGGGCTTAGTCAAGCATATACTTAAAACAGAAGTTGAACAATGGGGGGACCATCTGTCCCTCTCATTCCTCCTAATTTGACCAGTCTCCTTATGTACTAAACACAGGAGGGGCC